GATTTATTGTAGAGATGAGGTCTCGCTGCCCAGGCGGGTCTCGAACCCGAGGGCTCAGGCCATCCACTCACCTCAGCCTCCCAAAGGCGCAGGATTTCAGGCTTAGCCACCGAGCCTGGAAGGTTTTATTCTTAAGCCTATGGTAGATTTTCAAGTAATTTTTGTATGTGGTGCAAGATATAAATCCAGGTTAATTTTTTTTTTTGCATGTGGAAATCCAGTTGTTTTAGCAACACTTGGTGAAAAGATTGCTTTCTCCTCTGAATTGCCTTTGCACCTTTGCCACAATTGGGTATTCACTTCAATGGTAGTGACCCCACCTAGTCCCCAGTCATTTTGCAGTGGAGAAAGCTGACAGACACTATCTCAGGTAGGTGATTTATCAACAGATAACTCATGTTGATGGTATATATCCTTGATATAATATGATGAGAATGGAGCTTTTTCCAAAGGACATAATCCCAGTCTAATTATGAGGAAAACATCAGACAAATTCTCATGAAGGACATTCTTTAAAATACCTAACTAGTACTTCTCAAAATTGCCCAGGTTTCTGGGCATAGTGGCTTATGTCTGTAATCCCTGCACTTTGGGAGGCCAAAGTGGGAGGATCACTTGAACCCAGGAGTTTGAAACCAGCCTGGACAACATAGCAAGATCTCATTTCTACCAAAAAAAAAAAAATTAGCCTGGCATGGTGGTACACCTGTAATCCCAGCTACTCGAGGGTGAGGTGGAATGATTGCCCAAGCCTAGGAGGTTGAGGCTGTGGAAAGTCGTCATTGTGCCACTTCACTTCAGCCTGGGTAACAGAGTGAGACCCTGGCTCAAAAAACACAAAACAAAACAGAAACCCCCAAAAAATCAACAAGCAAACGAAAAACACAAAACAAAACAAAAAACAGCAATAACAAAACAACTAAAGACCAAAATTCCTTATGAACAGAGATGCAAAAATTATTTTTATACCTTCGATAAATCCAACAATATATAAAAATGATAATACTTTATGACCAAGTGGGATATATATCCCAGGAATGCAGGGTTAGTTTAATAGGGTTTCCACTGAGAAATCTGCTGTTAGTCTGATAGGTTTACCTTTGTCATTTATTTGATGCTTTTGTCTCACTGCTCTTAGAATTCTTTCCTTCACATGACCATTGCATAACCTGATGACTACATGCCTTGGGGATGACCTTTTGCAATGAATCTTCCAGGGGTTCTTTGGGCTTCTTGTATCTGAATGTTTAAATCTCTGGCAAGGCCAGGGAAGTTTTCCTCAATTATTCCTTCATATAGGTTTTCCAAACCTGTTGCTTCCTCTTCTTCTTCAGGAGCACCTATGATTCTTAGGTTTGGAGTTTTTACATAACCCCACATTTCTTGGTGATTTTGTTCCATTCTCTTGATTCTTTTTTCTTTATTGTTTGTCTGATGGGATTAATTCAAAAACCTTGTCTTCAAGTTCTGAGATCCTTTCTTCTATTGTGAAGTCTACTGTTAAAACTTTCCACTGCATTTTGTACTTTCCTAAATGAGTCTTTCATTTCCAGAAATTCAGCTTTTAATTTTTTGGTTAAGTATCTATCTCTTCGGAGAATTTTTCATTCGTGTCCTGAATAGTTTTTTAAAAATTTCCTTATGCTGATTTTCAACTTCTTCCTGGATCTCATTGAGCAGTTTTATAACCAAACTTTTGAATTCTATCTCTGGAATTTAAAATATTCCTTTTGGTTAGGGCCCATTGCTGAGAAATTAGCATAGTCTTTTGGGGGTGTTGAAGAGGTCTTTTTTTTCATATTGTCAGAATTATTTTTCTGGTTCTTCCTCATTTAAGTAGACTATTTCTTCTTATTTGAGGTTGGCAGGAGGCTGACATAGGCACTGTAGGGTTTCCCTGGTTACATATAGTCTTTGTATGGTGAATTTCTCAATTTCCAGCTGGGAGGATGCTGTGCTGGGTACCTGTAGAGGCTCAAGGTATCCTAAGTGGCTGGGGTGGTTTGAATAGTGGTGTTAGCTGGGGTCTGGGATCAGACTTTCCCCAAAGCTGAGGTATATCAGATGTAATGGGCTGTGCCTGTTGACCTTGGCCGGGAGGTGGTACTTGTGGGAGAGAGCCAGCTATGACAGTGGCTGTGAGGTTTCTTCTTGGTCTATGTTGCTCCACAGCCCACCAACCTTGGTGGTAGACAAAGCTCTGTTTTGAACCTTTGAGGGGGATTGTAGGGGAAAAAGTGCTCAAGCTCCTCACCTGTGTGCACTATTGGCTACCCCAGTGAGGACTGGGAAGAGTCTCTAGCCACTGGGGTAACATTGCTGTGTTGTGCAAAGGCTACACGAGAGCGTACATGGGCGTGAAAGTTGCTAGGGCGGTGCATCCCACCTGGCTCCCCTGCCTTAGCCTCAGGCAGTCTGCCTTCAGAATGTAAAAGTGCTGCTGGCCCAGGTCTTCTCCTGGGAGCCACCCCAGCCAGGAATTGTCTGCCACCGTGGATTTTGCCCTGGGTGCCCATTCCTGCCTAGGCCAGCTAGAATGCAGCTGGCAGCAAGTTGAGTTCCCAGGAAATGGCAGAGCCACTCAGGACTTTTTTTCCTGTGCTGCTTCACATGGGTTTCAGCAGAGCACAGCTGTGGGAAAGGCCATTTCCTGTGAGAAACTGGAGTCCTGGGATGCTCAGGGGGCAAAGTCTGAGGCACGAGTACAGAACTGAATTCCCCTCACTCCTCTCCCCTGCTGCATCCAGAGGCTGCTCATGGTTTGTGCAGTGATTCTGGCAAGTCTGGCTAGTTCCAACTCAGGCAGATGGATTCATCTCTTCTTTGCTCTCTATGGAGTTTATCGCTTCTCTGATGAGTCATGGGGTGTGCTACTTCCTCTATGAGTGCCAAGGAATTCTATTTTGTTTTACACTGTAGCAGAAGTACATTCTAGCTGCTTCTCATCAGCCATCTTAAATCTATCCAAGATATTTTACACATTTTTATATAAGAAAACAATCTTATAAATCTTAGTATTTACCTATGTAACTATTGCTTCTGGTGTTCTTCATTTCTTTGTATAAGTGTGCATTTCCATATAGGGTCATTTTCCTTCTGCCTGAAGGAGTTCCCTAACATTTCTTGTAGTGCAGGTCTGCTAGTAAATTCTTTTAGCATTTCTTTGTCTGGAAAAGTCTTTATATCACTTTGGGTTTGCAAAGATATTTCTGCTGGGTATAGAATTCTACATTGATGGTTCCTTTCAGCATTGCTCTACTCTGTCATCACCTGCATTGTTTCTGAGGACCAACCTGTTGTCATCTTTTTCCATGTTTCTCTATATTTAGTGTCTTTTCCCCCCCTTTGGTTTCTTTATGGCTTTCCTCTTTACCACTGGTTTTGTGCTATTTTATTATGGTGTGCCTTGGAGTTTAGTTTTCTTTATTTTTTAATTTTTTTTGAGTTGGAGTTTCAGTCTGTCTCCCAGACTGGAGTGCGGTGGCATGCTCCCGGCCACCACAGGCTCCACCTGCTGGGCTCCGGCGATCCTTCTGCCTCAGCCTTCCAAGCAGCTGGAACTACAGGTGCGCACTACCACGCCCGGCTAATTTTTGATTTATTGTGGAGATGAGGTCTCACCAAGTTGTCCAGGCGGGTCTTGAACCCGTGGACTCAGGCAATTCACTCACCTCAGCCTCCCAAACCGCGAGGTTACAGGCTGAGCCACTGAGCCTGGCTTAGTTTTCTTTATCACTTGTCCTTGGGTTTTGTTGATTTTCCTGTATCTGTGTATTCATAAAATCTTGAATATTTTCAGTTGCTATTTTTCTGTACCTCTTAACTCCCTCTTTCAATTTACACATGTATTAGGCTGCTTGATGCTGTCACACAGCTCACTGATACTCTTTTTGAAAAGTACTATTTTCTTTCTGTTTTATTTTGGATAGTATATATTGCCATGTTTTCCAGTTCACTAATCTTTCCTCCTGCAGTGTTTTATTTGTCATCAAGTCCATCTACTATATATATATTATATATATATAATATATATATTTTAATCTTAATCATTGCAGTTTTCATCTTTAGAAGTTCAATTTGGGTCTTTTAAAAAACATTACTCATTGGATTTAGAGCTCCTGAAAAAGAAAAAAAGAAATAAAAATGTCATCCAGTTCTCTTCTTTACTTTTTGGCAGATAGACTACAGCTTTAGTAACTGTTTTGGTGTTCTCATCTACTAATTCTTTTTTTTTTTTTTTTTTTTTGAGTTGGAGTCTCACTCTGTCGCCCAGACTGGAGTGCAGTAGCCACTCCCGGCCACCGCAGCCTCGACCTGCTGGGCTCTGGCGATCTTTCCGTCTCAGCCTTCCAAGTAGCCGGAATTACAGGCACGCACTACCATGCCCGGCTGATCTTTTGATTTATTGTAGAGATGAGGTCTCGCTGCCCAATTGGGTCAGGCAATCCACTCACCTCAGCCTCCCAAAGGCACGGGATTACAGGCTGAGCCACCGAGCCTGGCTCATCTACTAATTCTAACATCTGTGCCATTGCTGGGTCAGTTTAAGTTGACTGATCCCCCCTGCTTTGTGGATCTTTTCTTGCTGCTTTGTGTGCTGTTAGTTCAATTGGATGCCAGGTATTGCGGCAATTACCTTGTGTTGCTGGATTATTTTATCACTTCTATAAATGTTCTTGAGCTCTGTTCTGGGATGTAGTTAAGCTACTTAGAAAAAGCTTGATCTGACCCTTCCGAGTTGTTGGCTGTAGGGTCTGGTATGGCCTGAGCCATTGGTCCTGCGCCGAGATGCTTCAGAGCATTATTAAAAATGTTTGGATCCCTATGAAGCCCTACTATACGGAAGCTTACCAGGAGATTTGGATGGGAATGGGGTTGATGAGCTTCATCATGTATAAGATCAGGAGTGCTGATAAAAGAAGTAAAGCTTTGAAAGCTCCTGCACCTGCTCATGGTCATCACTAACCAGCTTTCCTTGGAGCACACATGAGATGAAACACCAGTCCGCCTGTAAATCTGAGCAAGCCATGTTAGAATAAATATGTCTGTGAGATGCACCACTACCTGGTACTGCTTCTGGTGTGTTCCCTTTGCTCCTTCCTGTGTGTCAGGTGTGCTCTTAGTAGATGATTTGAAGTGCAGCAGGTGTGATCAAAATCTCACTGATACTGACACTGCTCAATAAATATTAAATATGATTTGACTACTAAAAAAAAAAGAAAATGCTTGATCCTTTCAGGTCTCATTGTCAAGATTTTAGTTCAGATCAGAACAACATTTTTTTCAAGGGCTAATTATTCCCCATTACAAGGCAAGATCTTTTTTGCTTTTACTACCCAGTGTCCCTGAATTATCAGGTGTTCTAGTCAGACTGGTAGGAACAGATGCCCCTCTCTGCCCTCTGTGAACCCAGGCACGGTTCTCACTGTCCTTTTCAGACAATTCCTTCTCTGATATCTGGCAATTTCCTTCCATGCGTGCACTGATCAGTACTCTGCTGAATACTCGCTGCAGACCCACTGCAGGTGTCTGGAGTTTTCTCTTTCCTGTTTTCTCCTCCCCACCACTGTGTTGTGAGCACCAGCTGCCTTGGTGTCCCAGCCGCTCCTCTGTGTCCCCTCAGCTCGGGCTCCTGTCCCCCTCCCGGTTTCCTTTCCCTGTGCCTGGGCACTTGCTCAAGGCAGTGTGCTGGGGCAGTCATGGGTCTGCCACATTTGTTTTCTGTCTCACAGGGATAATCATCTTTTATTACCTGGTGTTCACTCTCTTGAAAACTGTTGTTTCATATATGTTTTCCTGGCTTTTTGGTTGTATCAGGTGGGAGGATAAACTCATCTCCTGTTACTCCATCTAGCTGGAAGCAGAAGTGTCCATTACCTTTTATTACATTATTTTTCTTTCAAAAACCACATTAGGAGAAACCTTCCTCCGTAAAAACAACCAACGGCTTGACAAAATGGGTTCCTACTGTCCTGTAATTGCTTTGTTTTCAAAGCAAGCCTGTGAGGTGGGTGTCATATCACCTCCTTTTACAAATAAAGGGACAGCTGGGGGTACAGTGGCTCAGCCTATAATCCCAGCACTTTGGGAGGCCGAGGTGAGAGGATTACTTGAGCCCACAGGTTCGAGAACAACCTGGGCAACTTGGCGAGACCTCATCTCTACATTAAATCAAAAAATTAGCCGGGCATGGTGGCACACACCTGTGATTCCAGCTACTTGGAAGGCTGAGGCAGAAGGCTCACTCCAGCCTGGGTGACAGAGTGAGACTCTGACTCAAAACAAACAAACAAACAAAGAAACAGAAAAACCAATAAAGGGACAAAGCCTTATAACTGTGTTGCCTCCAAAGCGACAGTTTATAAAGGCAGAGCCAGAATTAGGCCCACGTCTCCACTATACTGGGCTGCCCTTGAAGTTCTCAGGAGGAGAAACAGAGACACATGGGCTAGGGGTTGTTATTATTATTATTATTATTTTTTTTGAGTTGTAGTCTCACTCTGTTGCCCAGGCTAGCGTGCAGTGGCACATTCACAGCCACCGCAGCCTCCACCTGCTGGGCTCAGCCGATCCTTCCATCTCAGTCTTTCAAATAGCCGTAACTACAGGAGCGCACTACGACACCCGGCTAATTTTTTGATTTATTGTAGAGATGAGATCTCACCAAGTTGCCCAGGCTGGTCTCAAACCCCTGGGTTCAGGCAATCCTCTCCCCTTGGCCTCCCAAAGTGCTGGGATTACAGGCTTGAGCCCCCACGCCTGGCCTAATATTATTTTTTAATTTTTTTTTGAGTCAGAGTCTCACTCTGTCACCCAGGTTGGAATGTAGTGGCATGCTCATGGTCACCGCAGCCTCAACCTGCTGGGCTCAGATGATCTTTCCATCTCAGCCTTCCAAGTAGCTAAAACCACAGGCATGCGCCACCACGCCTGGGTAATTTTTTGATTTATTGTTGAGACAAGGTCTCACCATGTTGCTCAGGCTGGTCTCGAACCCCTGAGCTCAGGCAATCCTCTTGCTTCTGCCTCCCAAAGTGCTGGCATTACAGGCATGAGCTACTGTGCCCGGCTGGGTTAACCTTATTTTTTAAAGTATTTTTTACCTCCCCAGGGAGGTAAACAGGTGGATTAAGAGAGTAATATTTTCAAGGTCACAGGGTTACTGTGCCTGGGAGCTTGGAGAGAGGCTCGAGGGTGTCTGTGAGTGGTTTTCTTATTGTGCCCCTCCTGCTGTGACTCACTTCAGAAGAGAAGGGAGATCCTGCCACACAGAGGATCAAGCTATTTGCCAGAGCTGTGGAGTTGGGAGTCTGAAACCACTGAAACCTCAAGGATAACAGGGAGTCACTGGTCACTCAGCCACAGGGTGTGTAGGGGGAGTGAGGGGTAGCGGGGAGCACCAGAAGGCTGGAGGGTAGACTTGAGGAAGCTGTGGGCTGAGTGTGCTGAGGTGGGAGGTACAGCTCTCCACCCTGCTCCACCGTCTCCTGGTTTGTGTGATTATCTCTTCTTCCTCGTCTTCTTCTGAGTGAAGAAGGTGGGAAATAAAGTAATGAAGCCATGAGTAGGGGAGTTGTTAGGGAGAGAGCTTGTCAGGGTGGGCAGCACAGATGACTGGTAGGTGGGGAGGGAGGGGGTGGGAGGCGAATATGCAGGGACTCAGATCTCTGAGAAACAGGGTGGAAGGGGCTCAGCCTGGTGTGCAGAGTTGCAGGAGGGGGCCCTGGTGGTATAGCACCCTAGGCATGGGTACTTCTTGGGAAGAAGGTGGTGTGTCTTTTCCTGGTCATGGGAGAGGCTTTGAAAGTTTCTCGGAGAGTTTGTTTATAGTGAGATTCTTTTTAGACTGGGGTTTTTTTTGAGTTGGAGTCTCACTCTGTCGCCCAGGCTGGAGTGCTGTGGTACACTCACGGCCTCTCCAGCGTCGACCTCCTGGGCTCTGCCGATCCTTCCACCTCAGCCTTCCAAGTAACTGGAACTGCAGGGACGCGTTACCATGCCCGGCTAATTTCTGATTTATTTTAGAGTCGACTTCTCACCAAGTTGCCCGGGCTGGTCTCGAACCCGTGGACTCAGGCAATCCACTCGCCTCAGCCTCCCAAAGTGCTGGGATGACAGGCTGAGCCACTGAACCCGGCTTGGACTGGGTTTTTATTTTTATTTTTATTTTTGTTTTTAAAGAACAGATGGTCTCTAGAAACTGTAGGCTTGTAAACTGTCAACTTTAGTAGGGTGGGTTTGGATAAGTCTGTGAATTAGTTACTCTTTTTGTATTTCTATGAAATGGCCAGTCTCTGGGCCATTTGGCCTTTCTTAAACAAAACCTGCCCGGTGCCTGGCGGGTCTTTTAAAGTTGCAACTCGCCTTTCGTTTTTTGTTTTTTGTTTTTTTGAGTTGGAGTCTCACTCCGTCACCCAGACCGGAGTGCAATGGCTGTTCCCGGCCACCGCAGACTCAACCTGCTGGGTTCCGGCGATCCTTCCACCTCAGCCTTCCAAGAAGCTGGAACTACAGGTGTGCGCTACCACGCCCGGCTAATTTTTGATTTATTGTAGAGATGAGGTCTCACCAAGTTGCCCAGGTGGATCTTGAATCCACGGGCTCAGGCAATTCACTCGCCGCAGCCTCCCAAAGTGCTGGGATGACAGGCTGAGCCACCGAGCCCGGCCTGGACTGGGTTTTTAAAAGTGTGGAATGGAACAGAATAATATCATTTATTAAGTGCTTACTGTATGCTAGAACCCATTTCACGTGCTCCCACCCATTTCATCCTCACGATAACCACGTAAGGAAGAAACTATTCATTCCATTTCACAGGGGCAGAAGTTGAGGCTCGGGCCAGTGGTGACTGACTAAGCACCCTGTGCTTTGATTGTTGGACGAGAGGGATGTTCGTGGGGGGCGGGGGGTGGAGCCTGTTGAGACAGAACACATAAAAGGGGCTTGCCCTCAGCTTGGCAGATATGGTGAGCCCCGGGGGGAGGGAACAGGATACTTAACACTTATGCCATACTCGGAAGTAGGTGCCCATATGCATTCTGGTTGAACAGAATGGTGGTGTTTTGACTACCTTAATAGCAACTTTCCTTCCTGTGGGAAGGTAGAGCTTCAACTTATATGTAAACTGTCCCAACTTTTCAACGTTTGCATCTAATTTCACGAAAAATCATGTGGATCAAACAATGCTGTTCTTGATTGCAGGTGGAAGGAGCTTTAGGCAACAGAGCTCTTACAGTGCCAGGCCCTGTGCTAGGCTGGCCAGAAACCAAAGGGGTCAGCCTGGCCTCCCTGGAGGCTGCAGTCCTCTTTTAGGTGGGGGAAGCCTTCTGCACGGGAAAGGGGCACCGTAAGAGGATTTGGCATAATGGGATTTGATCCACATTATCCTTGGACTCCTTAAACCTGATACCTTCAGAGTGTTTTTGGTGGCTAAAATTGAAAAAGTAAAACAATCTGAGGCAGGCAGAGGGAATTTCTTGGGAAGTTTCTAGGGCTTTCGCTTTTCTGGAGGGCTTTCACCATCTCATTTGATTTGTTCTGTTAAATGAGCAATAATCCCATTTTTCTGGGGAAGGCGACTAAGACTCACAGGAAATAAGGGTCTGCGAGTTGCACAAGCTGGGACAAGGGGAGACCAGCTGGGACTCAGGCCTCATGAGTCTTTTTCCCACCTTGCTACCGATAGGGAAGGGGACATGGGGACAGCTCAAAGGGCTGAAACGACTCATCCAAGGACGCACCTCCACGAGGCTCAAGAAAGGGCCAGGAGTGTCCATGAGCTCCTTGAAGTCATCTGCAAAACATTTTCTGTGTGTACTTTTGTCTGTTTCTCAGGGTAAAAGACCTAAACCCAATAGATTCTCAAGTGGTTAAGAGCCACTAATGTAAGCTGAGGCCTTTCTGACTCCAAAGCTTGTCCTCTGAGGCCCCTTCCTTGGATCCTGGTTAACAGAGCATTCTTGAAAGTTAAACCTATATGAGCTCCGGGTCTGCGTACTGAAGGAAGTACATGCGTGGTAACTGTTCTTT